ATTTAGGCAAGAAGCTTAATCTCTATGAGATTCCATTTTCTTAGCTGTAAAGTGGAGATAAATACCTGTCACACAAGGTTGCTATTAGTAATTAAGTAACATAGATGAAATTCTAGCACACTGTAGGTGTCATATAAAGGTGAGTTGAATCAGAATTCCATGCCTGTTGTAATTTTCGCATTGATAGCAAATTTAATCCTATTTACTCCTCAAATTAAGAACCTTTAAAGGCTGCCCATGGGTAGGAAAAAGTTGAAATTCCTTAGCTTCCCAGACTCAGCACAACAAACTACCTACAATCTACTTTCTCCAGCCTCACCATCCACCTTCCCTCCTCAGCATACAAATTCTTCAATCTATTCTCAGAAAATGTTGTTCACACCACCTACCCCACCACTTCTCCACCTGATGAACTGGCACTTAAACTTCACTGCCAAGTACAAACATTTGCTCTAAGTTTGCCCCAATCGCCTGGAATTACTTATCTGTTCCTCTCTCCCCAAAAGCACTTTTACTTATCTCAGTAATTACACTTACTTTGTGCTGTCCCTATTTGTCCACATAGCTTTTTCTCTCCTATTAGAGCACATTAATCCAGCGACTTCCAAACTAGCAGCCCTGATTTTTTTCAGTTGGTCAGAACCATGTCCTTTTCATGGTTGTTTCCCCCAGCCAGGTACACAATAAGCCCACAATAAATTAATCAGGGCCAGAAAACAGTCTGAGAAAATTAAGGTGGCTCAGACAGTAGTAATAATGGCAAAAGAGAAAAGAATGACTTGTAAAGTGAACCCTCTTGGGTTGCTACTTCCTTAGCTTCCACTGATGGGACTGGCTTCTAGACACTATGTCATCCAGAGGCCTTGGTCCGAGTTCCATGGTTAGGATCAGCACATTCTGAAAACAGACTTCCTCTGAAAGATAAATATGTCCTACTTCGATCCTCTGTGAACAATGACTTAACCATTAGTATCTACATCTGTGTGATCGCTGTCTTTACCTACAGGATTTGACTTAAAAAAAAAAAAAAAGGTCCTGAATTTATCAAATTTAAGATGACATTGACTGTAAGATGGCCATTATTTTACACAGCACTAAGAGAAGAAAATGCTGCCAATTACACTATGAAATTGACTGTAAGACTCATCTCATAGAGCTTATATGTATGTGCTTTAATATAGGTCTTAGAATCAGTTAAATGATATATGAAATGTAGTATCAGGTTTGAAGAAAAGCTTTTGATCACTGCCTGCTTTCCTTACACTATTAGAAAAACAAAGAAGCAAAAACATGTGAAAACTTCAAAGAAAGTTTGTGTCCAGAATATAACGCAAAGGACAAGGGAAGAAGGGGACTTGGTATGGAGCCAGATGGTGGCAGGGGAATGGGGAACAGGCAGAAACATGACAGAATGACTAAGGGATCATTCATTCATAAATATTAACTGAGCAATTAGTTTATGCCAGGCATCACTTTGGGGACTAAGGATATTATTGTGAATAAAACCAGATAGAATCCTCCCACCTAGGAAACATACTGTCTTGTGGTTCAGACAGAGTTGATAAAATAAGTACAGATATGGATGTGTGTTTACAAACTGAGATCGGTGATATCTCAGGAAAGAAACAGGATCTAGGAGCACATATTGGAAAAAAGACCTGGCCTAAACTGGAGGGCACCGAGAACACATTCCTCAGGAATTAGTCTTTGAATAGATATTTGGAAGTCATGGCGGCGGCAGCAAGGGTGTGTTCTGAGTCAGAGGGTACAGCATATGAGAAAGAACTTCAGGAAACTGAAAAAATACCGCTCTGGAAGCATAAAGATGGAAAGCCAGAGAAATAGAGGGCAGAAGTCACGTGATACAGGCAACTGAATATTAGTAAGATAGGCTGGGGAGGAAATAGGCATGGTGCATAAAAGCAGACAAAGCTATTGTGAGATCTGATTAAAAGCTATGTGCTGGTGGTGGAGATCAAGAAGACTGATGGGCTCAAGTGATATTTAGAGAGCAAAAAAGTCAACAGCATGTGCTGATAAAACTGGGGATGAATGTTAAGGGAGAGGAAGTAGTTAGGCTGCTGTTAGGTTTTCTAACTTGATACAACTGGAAGGTGTCATTCATCAAGTTTGGGAACAGAGGAAGAAGCTCTCTTTGGGAAGAGATGGCCAGATGAGGGTATGGTGTGACTATCATGAGTCTTGCCTCAACTACAGTGAGTTTGAGATGCCTTAAGGAGATCCAAGTGGAAATGCTGACCAAGCAATTGGACATGTGAGTATGAAGCTCAAAGGAGTATCTCAGCCAGAAAAAGGTCTAAGATTGAACACTAAAGACTCCAGACTGATATGGAACTGGCTGGTGGGGTGAAAAGGGCCTTGGAGTTCTCATATTTCCTCAGTACCTAGTACATCTAATCTCATCCTATAGGCTGTCTCTAACACTTTGAGCTGGAAGAATCTTTCCTTCTATTGCAACGGAAAAATTGTCAAGATGCCCCAAGTTTGAATATGTTTTTCAAAGAAACATGGTATTTTGGTTACGGAACCAGTACTGTATTTTGTATTTCCCAGTAGGAAAACATTCATGCATGTGTAAGGGGGTGGGGGTGAGGGTTCAGGCAGCTGTGATTAATTAAAGATTTCTTCTGAGTTCCAATAGCCCTCTAACATATGAAGTTTGGGAATATAAATGCAATATAATCCATCTATAAGCTTGGGGATTACCTATACTGTAATTCTCAAACAACAGAATATTATAATTAGAGCAAGTGAAAGCACTCATATGCATTTAAAAATATGAAGGTGCTCAGTTCAGCAACTTAATAAGGATAATCTTATGAACCTGTGTTTCCTATTGTATGAATGCATCTACTATGCAGAAATTTTGCACAGATTAGAAATTTATTAACATGCCTAACAGTATTTGGAACACAGTAAATGCTATTATTAATAAAAACATTTAAAAATAAAACTGCACCAATTTGTATTTGCAGAATAAATATGCATGTAACTCTCCATCTTGAGGAAGTATACAAAAATGAGTGTGAGCATTGCAAGTGTATTTATTCTTCTCTGTCTCCACTTTTCTCTGTTTTGGCTGTTTTCTTCCTTTGGACTTGACCAGATACTGTCAAGGAACATTAATAACTCTGTGCTGCTCTCTAGTGGTAAATATAGAATATAGTCCATTAAATGACTACTTTTTGATAGCCTTCTAAACAATGAAATTCTAAGAAAAACCAGTAAGAGAAAGTATTTAATTTCCCAGTCTGCTACCACTGATAGCAGATTAAGTGTCCCTCAGCATGTTATCCCTTTATTATTTTAACTATAAATATGTTTCATTGGAATAAAAAAGCACAAACTGATACGTATCATAATAGCAAATTTTTATCACTTGTTAGATACCATGATCTATCATTACATTGTATGAAGTGTGGTCTAAGAAATAACTTGGCTATAGTGAACACACACACACACACACACACACGTCCCTCAACTAAAGCAGTCATAAACACCTCAATTCTTACAAGACTAATTTTATTTTTTGTTTGAATTTGTTAAACACTTTAGTATTTAAGTAAACTTTATTTGGTTAACAATTTAAATTCAATAGCTAAAAGTCTGTATTATTATATATCCTAAATTTATTATATAGCACTTACAACATGGTAAGTGTATCCTATTATCTCAACAAGCTTGAAACAATTGAAATCATTTCTACTAATTTCGAAATTATTGGCGAAACTAATTTTTTTTTCCTAACAAGGGGAATAAAAATCCAGTTGCCTAGATAAACTACTTGCTAAACAAATGTTTGGGGTGAGGGTGGAGGTAAGGGCAGGACTATTTATTGAATCAAAATAACTAAAAGAACAACAATATGAATAAACTTAATGTTAAAAGGATCCTTTCTCAAGCTCTATAGCTTGCTGTTAATACAATTATTTTATGAAATTCTTTATATCCTATATCTCTCCGAAAAGGACTGCAGGCAATTTTCAACAAAAGACAGATAGAATCACATTAGTAAAACAGATATGGCAAATGAAATTCAGGAGGAATGAAAATGAAAATATAATAACTAGTTTGTTAACTAAGTTGTTGATATTGTACTTCAAATGTGGATCTGAGCTTTCTAGCAAACCAGAGCAAAAAGGAAATCATGATTTATATATTTCTTATAACAAAGAGGGGAGTAAGGCTTTCTAATTTGTAAAAAAAGAAAAAAAAGATATTTTCTGGTCTTAACTCTAAATCTAATTTCTCATGTGGGCAACTAATGCGTGATATAAATAACAAACTAAACAAGAATTACTGCAAATTCAGAGATGAGCAGAATTTACATGCTGAGTTTGTATATTTTGCATTTAGGAGAGGCTAAATATGAAGGTACTTCCAGTTTAAGTGATCTGACTTAATCCAAATTCAGCAGTGGAGAGATAACATGCCTTCAAATACAATTTCTCAAAATCAGACTTTGGATAAGAGTTAAATAGTATATTATTAAAAATATATAACCTTTAGTTAAGAGTTTGAAGTCTGGGGGCACCTGGGTGGCTCAGTTGGTTAAGTGTCTGACTTCAGCTCATGATCTCACCATTTGTGAGTTGGAGCCCCGTGTTGGGCTCTATGCTGATAGCTCAGAGCCTGGAGCCTGCTTTAGATTCTGTGTCTCCCTCTCTCTGCCCCTCCCCTGCTCGCAGACTGTCTCTCTCTCTCTCTCTCTCTCAAAAATAAATAAACATTAAAAAAAAAAAAGATTCTCAAATTTGTTATTTTCCAATTTATTTCATGTTTACTTCCTATTTATTTGTTAGGTTAAAGCTCCTTGAAGGTAAAGGCCTATCTTCCAGTTCTTACAAGATCTTTCACTGAGAAATAGTCACCGGGGACATTCAATTAATACTAAAAATTTACTGATGTAGTAGGAAAACAAACCTCACCACTAGTAGGTTTGGTTTTTGGTGAAATATTATTTTTATTTTAATTTTTACCTTGTAACAGTCTCCTCCAGGAATAATTTCCTGAATATATACCAAGGGGCCTTCATTCCGGTTAATTCCTCCAAGGATCTTCAGACCAAGGCCCGTTTCCTTGGTAACTGTGATCATCTGAAAGGCAGGATCCCTAAGATAAAGTAAATTAGCACTCACAGGTTAGCCTAGAGGATCTATGCCCACTTTTTCTTCAAACTACTTGTTAAATCAAATTCTTAGATCTAGATAACCCCATGTACTCAGTACATACCAGTAACGACATTTAGAAAAGTATGATGATAGGAAAACAATCAAATGGATTCTGTTACCTGTAGTATTTTTTTTCTATAAAAACAAACCATAGAAGAAATTACAGCAATAGTGCTTATTTCTCTGTTGTAGAAGGAAGAAAAATACCTTCAACATATAATTTAAATATATTTAAAGGTTTATTAAAGGTAACTGAACAGATTTCCCTTTTTAGCTGGCTTCTTAGACTACACTGAGGGATCAATCCCAAAATTAAAGATTTTATTGAGTTAGGTAAGTGACTTTTTAAAAGACATGTTGGCAGTCATTTAAAGCAAAATAAATATGACCTCCATTTGAATATCAAAAAGAAAAGTTTATCTTTTTAATTTCAGAAGAGTATTTTCTGATAGAAAGCACATGCTCATCCGTAATTTCTGTCAAACGTTAAGAATAATGACATTAGAAAAGAAGGAGGGGCGCCTGAGTGGCTCAGGCAGTTAAGCATCTGATTTCAGTTAAAGTCGTGATCTTGCAGTTCATGAGTTTGAGCCCCACATTGGGCTCTGTGCTGACAGCTCAGAGCCCGCAGTCTGCTTCAGATTCAGTGTCTTCCCCTCCCTCTGCCCCTACCCCACTTGCTCTCTCTGTCTCTCAAAAAATAAATAAATACTAAAAAATTTTTTTAGAAAAAGAAAAGAAGGAACTGTCAAAAGAATTCTATAAAAGGCATACCCTCAAATTGTGTTTCTGAACACTCCAGTCAGAGCGGAGACTTTTATTGGTCAAAGAGGGCTTGAACATAGTTTCAAATAAGGCTTAGGGCTGCCTGCTTACATATGATGTAACTGGGGTTGTGCTAAGCAATATACATACACTATGCTATTCAACTTAGCATTTATACAACTCCTAAGATTATTACCCTCATTTTTCTGAAAGCACCAAAGTCTGGGAAGGTTAACTTGGTGGTCTGAGGTTATAAAGCTGGAGAACAGCAATAGAAACCCAGTTTGTGTTACTCTAGAGGCAAAATGTGGCATAAGATATGCTTCGTGGTCGTATTAAAGCCAGTGATGAATATTGGAGCTATCTTCACACATATCAAAAAAACTGAAACTGGTATTAAAAAAGGTGCCTCGTATCTTAAATATGATTACAGTTTTTAGAAAAAGCTTTCTTATCTTCTGCCACAAGAATTCTAACTATATCTTTTTTTTTTTTATTTTTTTTTTTATTTTTTTTTTTATTTTTGGGACAGAGAGAGACAGAGCATGAACAGGGGAGGGGCAGAGAGAGGGAGACATAGAATCGGAAACAGGCTCCAGGCTCTGAGCCATCAGCCCAGAGCCTGACGCGGGGCTCGAACTCACGGACCGCGAGATCGTGACCTGGCTGAAGCCGGACGCTTAACCGACTGCGCCACCCAGGCGCCCCTCTAACTATATCTTTAAGAAAGCATGTATTCAAAAGTTAAATAATAAAAAAGACAGGAGGAAAAAAATTAAAATACAAAAAAACCCCACAAAACCTTATAAGCCTTCCTGCTTTTGAATATTTTGCTCTCTACACAGGACATTGTTCAGGGTTGCATTATACAGAATTAAGCTCTGGTGTTGGATGGCCTCTCTGGTTACTAGGGCAACAGTCAATTAGCTAGAAAAAGAGGCAGAAGGGACTAGGTCCACAATGTTTCACTGTTACAGATTTCAGAAGCTCAGCCCACTTTTGATGGAATATTAGGTTATAAAGGCATAAAAGAATGAAGCCTAGAATTGAGAGAGAGGAGGGAGAGGGGGAATTAAGGTACCTCATTAGGTACCTCGTATAACCTCTTAAACCCTCCAAATGCAAATTTCCTTCAATGGGGGATACTCATAATCTCCACCATATATTAGTGCTTCAGTAAAGGATCCCTCTTTTTCTAATTGTCAACAGAATTTCTGTATTTTGTACAGCATTTACTTGCCAGGAGCTTATGTTACAACTCCCTTATGTTAAAATTTTGTATTATTTACTTTTTCTTAGCTATTAGAAATAGTTCTGCTGCTCAACTTTAATCCCAGAGAATTACAAGTTAAAACTAGGCAGAGATATTGCTATTTACTTACAAGATCAACATATAATTTAAAACTGTGACAATATACTCCAGTGACAAGGCTGTGGAAAAAGAGGTACTCTTGTACATTGTTGATGGGAATGCAAAATGGCATAACTTCTAATGAGGGAATTTGGTAAACTCTAAGTTTACCCTCTGATCCAGAAATCCCATTTCTAGGAATCTATCCCAAAGATACTCTGGCAAAAAAATACAAAATTACGTGTATACTAGGTTATTTATTTTCGCATAATTTGAAATCTTCAAAAATTGCAAATAATGGGTGTCTATCAATAAGGTGCTGGCTGAATAAACTATGGTAAATTGATAGGATAGAATACATAGTTACAAAAGGTACAAGAAAGACATTTATAGACTGATATGAAGAGACTACCAGGATATAATTTTAAAAATTTATTTATATATATATATATATATATATATATATATATATATATATATATTTTTTTTTTTTTTTTTTTTTTTTTTTTTTTAAAGCAAAGATCAAAAGAGTATCACAAATGCTACCTTTTGTTAAAATAATCGTTAGAGGGAAACTGGGAGTGGAGTCTTGAAGAGTGCTATGCTGATCATATGATTCTTTCCCACTGGCCTTGTATTTGCCTTAAGATTGGACGAAACTCCACTGCTGTCCCAGAAAAGTCAAAACTGTTCACACCAGAGCATAAAAGTGTGCAGGGAGCTCTCACACACCACCAGATGAGCCTGGCTGTACCCTGGAGACTGTGAACTCTTCCAGTGCTTCAGGAAGTGTGCAGAGAAAGACATCCTGATTTAAGCCAGCCTGACATCCTTCCTCAGGAGAAGTCCAGCAGAACCTGAGCTGATGTGGCTAATTGCATGTGTTTACTATGAATAATAGCTTTGAGGTAAAAAATACTTAACATCAAGGTATTATATATATATCAAATACACTCTTTATATACATAAACATGTATATATATTTCATATTATATTATTTGTATCAAAAAGAAGCACAAGGGAAAGAACCAAAATAAAATGAGTTATCTATATGGAAGAATGAGGTGCAGAGGAATGAAAGAGAACTTGACTTTATTCTTTGAGTTACCATGGCTGATTGCATGTCCCACAAAGTCTTCCATCCTGCTGTATACCACATGTGAGATGTGACTTCTTCTTCCATTAAAGTGAGTCTAGGGGTGCCTAGGTGGTTCATTTGTTGAGCATCTGACTCTTTGGGTCATGGATCTCCACGGTTCGGTGGTCTAGAGCTTCCCCGTATGGTGACTCACTATGACAGCTCAGAGCCTGAGCCTTGCCTAGATTCTGTGCTCCTCTTCTGCTCTCTCCTCACCATGCTCTCTCTCTCTTTCTCCTTCAAAAAATAAATAAAACATTAAAAAAAAAAAGTAGATTCTCATATCTATACCCCTTGAATTTGAACTCTGGCTATCTTGAAGTGCTTCATCAATGAGCGACCAAGCAAATGTCAGAAACAGAACACTTGAAACTTGGAGAGCTTGTTGCTGTTGAGACACCATCTCCACCCATCTCTGTGAAAAAGCCTGAGCTAAATTTCTTGGAGAGAGAGACCAGGTTCAGAGAGATAGCCATCCAGACTTTTCCGATGAAGGCCCTCAAATGTGAATGAGCCAATCCCTACACCTATCCGATATACCAACTAACCAAGCATGAGAAAAAATAAATGTACTTTCTTATGTTTCAAGGCAATTCGGTGTTTGTTACTCAGCAAAAAAGATTAATCTCTACATTACTCTTATACTGAATCATAAAATATTTAAATATTCACAAATATCAGAATCAAAATTTTGGAGGAGGAGGAAGATGTGCTGTGAGCGTGGAGGAGCACTTGGGCTCACCGCTGCCTGCTTGATCACTTAGATCCCACCACACCTGCCTAAATAACCCAGAGAAAACACCAGCCAGCAGGAGGTCTTGAAATGCAGAACGGCAGCAGCAGGAACCTAGCAGAGAGGCACGAGAGTGCAGCTGACATGGAGCCGTCGGGAAGTCATAAGTTAACAGCGTGCTCTGTATAAGGAAGGCTGGAGGACAGGAAGGGAAGGGCACTGGACTACTGACAGAGCTCAGTTTGTACAAAGGGGGCAGGGGCTTTTCGCCCCACTTCCCATGTCCCCCAGCAAAATCCCAAAGAGAACCAGTTCCTGCCAGGGGAACTTGTCCTCACAAGATAACACCCAACTCTAAGCTTTGGCAGAAAGAGCCCTCCCAGCTGGATCTGACTCCTCTGCTGCCACAGGGCCTCTGAGACACTGGAGGAATTAAAAAGCAAGCCTGCCATCCTCCTGCCCCTGTGCACTTTGCCTACCCACCACCTGTGCCAGCCAGCCAGATTAGCCCATCACAAGCCTGGCGTGTGAAGTAGCCGTACGGGAGCCTACCCCACCCCACAGTATCCGCCTGCAGGAGAGGGGAAGAGAAGGCTACACTTGTCTGACTAAATGCAGCTGTGGGCTGTGAACATCGGGCATGACTGCTGGCTAACACACGCAACCAGCAATATACACCACAGCACACGGGGAAGTGTCCCTGGGAAGGGTCCTCACTGCCAGGACTATGCCAACATTCCAAGCGGAAGAATTCTCAGAAGATATCTCAGGAAATAAAAATAGCTACTGAGCTGGAATCAAAGATTTAACACTCAATATAACAGACAAGGTGAATTTAGAATAATAGTCATCAGAGTAATCGGCTGGCTTGAAAACAGTATAGTGCTGTGGAATGGCCCTCTGCACAGAGATCGAAGGGAACTAAGAACAATCTGAGGAGCGAAAAACGCTTATAAGAATGCATAACAAATAGGAAACCCACTACAGCTCGATTGAAGAGGCAGAGGAGAAATGAGGGTGAAGCTAGAATAAGGCTGTTGAAAAAAAGAGGGCTGAGAAAAGAGGGATAAAAATCCAGAATATGAGGGGAGAAAAGGTAGAGAACCAAGTGATACACATAAAAAGAAATATATTCAGATCATTGGTATCCCAGAGGAGGAAGGGGAGAAAGCGCTTGAAGGGTGCTTGAGAAATAATGCGTGAGAACTTCCCTGAACTGGGAAGGAAAAAAGGCATTGAGAAATCCAAGAAAGACGCTGAGGAACTCTCAGAGCATTTAATCGATCTTCTGCAGGATACACTATGTGAACTCATGAAATACAAGGATAAAAGAGAAAATTTCTGAAACAGCCAAGTAAGGGGTAAAGCAGTGCCTCCTCACATAAAGAGCACAACTAAGACTGGGTGGTGACCATCTTTTTGAAAGGCGCAGAAAAGAATTGGCATGCACATTTTCAATCGAACAGAAAAAATATGCAGCCGAAGAATCCTTTATCCATGCAAGTCTGTCAATCATTAGAATAGAAGGAGAGAGAAAAGGTCTTCCCAAACAAAAAAACTGAAAGTTGTCTCACTAAACCAGCCTACAAGAGATCTAAGGGGGACCTGAGACAAAGGGATACAGGACATCACTACAAGCATAAAACAACGACTTGCATCACATGAAACTCTAAACCCATATCTTTCTCTAATAACTAGTGGAAAATGGACTATAAAATGCGCCATAACTCAAAAGACATCCAGGTACGTGGATAACAAGACCCAATATCATTTGTTGCCCAAGTTACAGAGACTCGATTTTAGACCTGAGGGACACCTTTTAGATTGAGAGTGAGGATGGAGACTATTTTCATGCTACGGAGGCCAAAAGAAAGCTGGAGTAGCCATAACTCATATCAGACCCCAAGAACTTTAAATTAAAGGTGTAATCAAGAGATGGAAGGGATGATAATAGTGACAAGTCTATCCATTCGGAAAGCTAACAAAATTGCATATAATGTCTATGCTACCAGATACCGGGGCGCTCCAAATATATAAAAACAGTACTCACTAATACACAAGCAACCTTTATTGATGATAGAATGCGTAAGGTGCAGGGACTTTAACACCCCACTTACAGAAATAGATGATCTCATCTATACATCGTCAAATAAAAGAAACAAGGGCCCTGAATGAGACATATAGGATCAGATGGACTTGCAGATATATTTAAGAGACTCTGCATCCCAGGCAGCAGAATATAACTTTCTTCCAGTGCACGAGACATTCTCAAGAATAGAATCATGTGGTCATCACAAACAGCCCTCATAGTTTACAAGAATGAATCATACATGCATACTTAGAACCACAACGACTTACTTGAAGCTTGAGGGAATCAACCACAAGAAAAGTCTGAAACCTACAAAGCATGGAGGTTAAAAGAACAATTACTAAGATGAGTGGGTAACCAGAGATCAATTGAAAGAAATTAAAAATATATGGAAACAACTGAAAATGAAAATACAACAATCCAAACACTTTGGGGCATGGCTATAAAGGCAGTCCCTGAGGAGAGAAATACATTGCAATCGCAGGCCTATCTCAAGAAACAAGAAAAATCCCAAATACAAATCTAACAGCACACCTAAGAAGGAAATAAAGCTAGAACAGCAAAGGCAGCCTAAACCCAGCAGAAGAAGAGAAATCATAAAGATCAGGCAGAAATAACAGTCTAGAATCTAAAAAACTGTAGAGCAGATCAAAACCAAGAGTTGGAGTTTTTTTTGAAAAAATAAACAAAATTAAACCTCTAGCCAGAGCTTGCCTAAAAAAGAAAGAGGGAGATTGGTACCCAAATAGATAAAATCATGAATAATGGAATTATTCACCAACTTCTCAGGATACAAACATTATCAGGGAATGCTATGAAAAAATTATATGCCCAACAAATTGGACAATCCAGAAAAGAAATAGGACAATGTCTAACACCTATTCCCACTCTTCCCCAAAACTCAATCAGGAGGAAATAGAAAGCATGAACAGACCCATCCGTAGAAATAGGTGAATGGGTTATCAAAAATCTCCCAAGATACAGAGTCCGGGACCAAGAAGATGGCTTTCCCAGAGAGTTCCTACCAGATGCTTAAGCAGATATACTATCCTTCTCAATTTATTCCAAGAAATAGAGAAAGGAAAACTTCGACTCATTCTATGAAGCCAAAGTATTCTTTTGATTCCTAAACCAGACCTTACGAAGCCCAGTAAAAAAAGAACGAGCCAATATCCTGATGAATATGGGATGCAAAAATTCTCAAAAGATACTAGACAAATGGTTCAGATGCGCATATAAAAAGAGTATTCACCATGATCAAAGTGGGATTCTATTCCTGATGGGGCTGGTTAACATTCAGAAATCAATCACGCGGAACATCACATTAACAAAAAAAAAAGAGAAAGATACTATGGGGATCACTGTCAATGATGCAAGAAAAGGCCTTTGACAAACCAAGCACCCTTTCTAATAAAAACTCTTGAAAAAAGTCGGATGAGTAGAACATACTTAAAGATCACTAAAAGCCCATTTATGTATAAAGCCAGCTAACATCATCCTCCACGGGAAGGAAAAAGCTGAGAAACTTTTTCCTGAGAATCAGACTGCGTTACAGGGATGCCCACTCATCCTGTTGCTTTAACATAGTGCTGGAAGTTCTAGCATCAGCAATCAGACAACAAAAGGAAATCAAGCGTCCAAAATTACAGGATAGCAAGCCTTGCTTTGAGATGACATCGATATTATACAGGAAAACTGAGCCAGACTCTCACCAAAGTCTGCTAGTGAGGTACATGGAATTCAAATTGCGATACAAAAAATCACATGTACAGAAATCAGTTGCATCATTTACAACTACACTAACAATGAAAACAGAAAGACAAATAAAAACTGTCCCATTCACAATTGCAAATCACAAGCATAGTCCTAGGAATCTAACCAAAAGATGTAAAGGATCTTGTAAATAGTTGAAAACTAAAGAAAGCTTTTGAAGGTAATTGAGAATTCTAAAAATGGAAAGACATTCCTCGCTCATGGATTGGAAGAATAAATTTGTCAAAATGTCAAGTCACCAAAGCTATCTACACAATTCAATGCAATCCCACCAAAATTGCACCAGCATCTTTCTCAGAAGCAGAACAAGTAACTCTAAAATTCATGTGAACCACAAAAGCTGATCCAGCTAAAGTACTTTTGAAGAAGAAGACCAAAGCAGGAGCATCACAGATCCCAGACTTTAGCCTCTACTACAAAGCTGTCATCAAAGACAGCATGTATTGCACCAAACAGCAGCACATAGACCAATGATAAATAGAACTCCCGAGACTGAACCCACTAAACGACGCAACTCTCTTACGACAAAGCAGGAAAAACACCCAATGGAAAAAAGACAGATCTCTTCAACAAAATGTTGGAGAACTCGACAGCAACCATGCAGAAGAGTTGGCAGGAAACTAGACCACTTTCTCTGCACACCATTCACAAAATAAACTCCAAAATAAAAAAGGACCTGAATGTGAGACAGGAAACCATCAAAACCTTAACCAACGGAGAAAGCAGAAAGACCTCTCTGACTCGCCCAGCCGCAATCTTTACTGGAGATCACATCCCCAAAGGAAAGTTAAAAAGCAAAAGAATTCTCGGACCTATGAAGAGATAAAATGCTCATAGCAAAGGAAACAACCAACAACAAACTAAAGGCAACCAGAGGAAAAGATATTTTGCAAATGACACTATCGGACAAGAGGGCTAGTATCCAAAATCTATAAAGCACAACCCACCACCAAAAGCAAATAATACTGCGAAGAAATGGGCAGAAAACATGAAATGAACACTTCTTAAAGACACCGGATGGCCAACAGGCAATGAAAGGAGTGCATTATGGCTCATCTATGGAAAACAAATCAAACCACATCGCGTATCACTCACGCAGTCAGAATGTGGCAAAATAACAAATCAGGAGACCTATAGATGCTGAGAGGATGTGAGACACATGGAACCTCTTGCTGTTGGTGGAAGGCATTTAGAGCTTCTGGAAAAGCAGTGGGGTCCTCAGAAAATTAACAATGACTACCTACCACTATGACCCAGCAAAATGCGACTGTTTAGAGACCATTCTTACCAGAAGGACACAGAGTACTGGATGCATAGGGCCTTGTACCCAATGTTCATAGCAGCACAACTTCAATGGCAAACCCTATGGAAAGAGCCTAAATTAACCATCAACTGATGAATGGATAAAGAAATTTGTGGTTTATATACACACATGAAAATGGCAAATGACATTAAGCAACAAAGAAAAACAATATAGCCCTTTAACAACTTGTGTAGTCGACTGGAGAAGTGTGATACTAAATAAATCAACCGCCGAAAAACAAATCTTCCTCTCGTTCTCTTATATCTAAAGAAAACTTCAGAAAAGCTCCTATAAATTCATTTTTTTTTTGAGATTAAGTCAGAAAGTGGGAAGAAACCATAACACCTAAAGAATAACAACAAGAACTCTTTCTCTCACTAGGTTGATGGGGTGGGAGGAAGGAAGGAGAGGTGGATGGGATGTTAATGAGTATTAAAGGGGAGGAGCACAACTTTAGGATGGACACTGTGATTGTTGTATGGAAACCAATTTGACAATAAATTTCATATATAAATAAAAAAAAAAAAAAAAAACATTTTTTAAAAAGCAATTTCTATAAAGAATTATAAAAAAGAATGCAGAATTTATCCCATACATTGATTTACATTGGAAAGTAATTATTGATCAACTTCCTAATTTGCTTTAGACCAGTTAGCTGTATAAAATTTTGAACTAAAAGCTCATTAACATTCTGTATATTTCAAACTATGTGGCTCAAAACATATTACATTTAATTTAAAAATTACTTTTCAAGTAGACTGGATGATACCACAGCAGGTGTATTTTTATTCATGATTTTACCACAGGAGCCTTGGATTTAACCACTGTGTAAATGAAGATCTTGATGAAGAGTCTAGAAATTCTTCTTTTCCTAAGAATGGAGAAGTAGAAAATAAATTTTCATGCCTTAAGAGTAGTCAAATTTGATTTCAATTTTGCATAAAAACATCACATACACTTGGTATGTAAATGATATGCATTTATATAGACACGTTAGAGGTTGATAATATCTAAGAAATATAAAGACAGTTCTCCAGAGAGAGAGAGAGAGAGAGAGAGAGAGAGAGAGAGCGCGTTATAGGGCTATATTCACATCATTATCTGTATCTATATAAAATTGGCATTTTCTGGCAGAGATGAAAAATACAGTTAAGCTTTAGGTAACTATATAGCTTCCACCATTAATACACTTAAATCACATACTAATAAAACACTGTGACAAATATCTCTTGTGAGCACAAGGCTAGAAAGTTGTGTTTTTTTTAATGTTTATTTATTTTTTATTTTTTTAATGTTTTTATTCATTTTTGAGAGAGAGAACACTAGTTCGGGAGGGGAAGAAAGAGAGAGGGAGACACAGAATCTGAAGCAGGCTCCAGGCTCTGAGCTGTCAGCACAGATTCCAAAGCAGGGCTTGAACCCACAAACAGTGAGATCATGACCTGAACCAAAATCAGATGCTTAACCGACTGAGCCACCCAGAAGCCCCATTAATGTTTATTTATTTATTTTGGAAAGGCAGAGAGAGAGAGAGAGAGACAGAGAGAGACAGAGAGAATGCACAAGTAGGGGAGGGGCAGAAAGAGAGAGGGAGACACAGAATCACAATCAGGCTCCAGGCTCCAAGTTGTCAGCACAGAGCCTGACACAGGGCTTGAACCCATGAACCACGAGATCATGACCTAAGGCAAAGTCAGGCACTCAACCGACTGACTGAGCCACCCTGGCGCCCAGGCTAGAAAGTTTATAGTCAGAATATCTGTAAGATAATTATACAATACACTGTTGAAAAAAACAGAAATTCCTATTGTCATACCAACTATCTTGAGGTACTTCTTGTAGATCCAATATTACTCTGAATCATATCATTCCACAAGCTTCTTAAATACTTTCCTGTGAAAAGAAAAAAAAATATGCGTGTGTGTGTGTGTGTATGATTTTAATGTTTCATGTGGCTCCACTGTGAAAATTAAAAAGAATGATGCAGTTTCATTTAATTAAAAAAAGTTGTATTTGAACAGAAGTTTACCATCTCTGCATAAGAAATATGGATAAAGTACAGAACCTTAAAAGCCACTGGGAACATTTAGCACAACCCTCTTATTAAAGAAATGAATAGCTAGATTCAGAAATTGTGTGCTTTCCCCACACAAGTGAGAAATAGTGGTTGTTTTTCTAGCTAGCATTCAGACTTCAAAGACTAGAGTGTGGTGGACCTTGACATCAGATAGGCCTAGATTCCAATGTGACCTTCTTCTCCAGGCCTTAGTTTCTTCATAGGTACAGTAACTACCTTGACTGTAGTGATGGTTTTACAAATGAATGCGCATGTCAAAACTTACCAAATTCTCTCACTATAAATAGGCACTGTTTATTACAAGTCAATCATATCTTAATAAAGCTAAATTTTTAAAAACCTGATGAATCTGATTTTTATTTAAAGTTGCCAGAGGGGAAGGGCTGGTGGGGGGTGGGGGGTAGAGACTGGCAAAATGGATGAAGGGGAGTGGGAGATACAGGCTCCCAGTTATGAAATGAGCAAGAAATAAATAAATCACAGGGATGAAAAGTCCAGCATAGGGAATACGGTCAGTGATATAATAATGTTGTATGGCAATGGATGGCAGCTACACGTGTGGTGAACACAGCATAATGTACTGTTGTAGAGTCACTATGTTGTGTACCTGAAACTAATGAAACACTGTGTGTCAACTATACTTCAATAAATTTTTCTTAAATAAAATTATCTAAAAACAAAAAAAGGGGAAGCTTGACCTTGGTATATATCTTCCTTCCCTTCAGAGAGCCCACTTATAAGAGTATAAATTCATAATTTACATGAATAAATGGGAGAAGAGCCATCAGATTAAATGTTCAACAAATTTCTGGAAGACAAAAAATAGGGAGGTGATAACAGATAAAGGAAGGCTGAAGAAGCTGAAAATTAGGGCAAGCCTTCTTAAATATTTTCGAGTTTGAGCACACACAGAGAAAATCGGAATATACGTACAAAGCACCGGGGTAAATAGAGGCGGCATGCTATACCTGTGAGGAGCTACGGGAAGTCAGTAACTCAGCACACCAGTAACTGATTCAAAGCAAAATTCTGGCCTTGGAAACAGCTGGACAGAAATGCAGGGCAAAACTATCTTGCAGAATCCCACACAGGCTGAGGACTTGGGGACCCAAAGTTCTAGGAAGAGCAAAACTGAGGCAGAGAACTAAAATCAAGGGGATCATCCCAGCCCTTCACTAACCATTGAATGATGAAGAAATCACAGATTCTGCTGTAAATAATTTGAGTAGACCCTGAAGAAAGAGCCAAACACCTTCTGGGAACCTAACATAGTGTTGTTCCACTAGCCTGGGTGTTAAAATCCTGTTTCAACTTTCACAGTCCCTGTGGTAGCAAGCAACAGGAACAGGGGAAGCATGCAGATCAAAAGCAGCAGAAAAATGAAGCCAAAGTGAGTAAGATCCCCATCTAGTGGTGATTTGTCTTTACTGGACACAGGGTCCCCAGATGATGAAACATACCCACGTCTAATGGCTATGTCGCTGTTAAACTATACAACAGATTTCATATAATGTCATACTTAACAAGGCAGTTTTTTTTTTTCAACGTTTATTTATTTTTGGGACAGAGAGAGACAGAGCATGAACGGGGGAGGGGCAGAGAGAGAGGGAGACACAGAATCGGAAACAGGCTCCAGGCTCCGAGCCATCAGCCCAGAGCCCGACGCGGGGCTCGAACTCACGGACCGCGAGATCGTCACCTGGCTGAAGTCGGACGCTTAACCGACTGCGCCACCCAGGCGCCCCATCAAGGCAGTTTTAAATATTTCTATTTAAATTATTAAAATGAAATTTAAGTATTTAAATTATTTTATTCGCTTAACATGCCTGACAGTGTCCTAAGTCCTCGAGGTGAGCTTAAAAAGCACAGTCTATCTCCAGAGACAGTCAAACAGACATCAGGAGGGTGCTAAGTGCTCTGATAGTGCACACAGGGGGTTGGGGAAGCATGGGGGAAGGCCAGCCTGCCCAGAATGTTGTCATTACTGAACACCAATATGGCCAGGCACCATGTTGGAGGATTTTATACTCCTTCAAAGGAGCCCCACAAAGCAGGTATTACATATTTGTATTTACATAAATGACAGACATTTACATAAATGAAAATGTCATGCAGAAGCTATGTGACTTGTCCATGACCACAAGGTTAACCAGTTATAAACTGGAATTTGAATCCAGTTCTGTCTAGCTCCAAACCCAATATTTTTCCACTATGGCATGCTGGGAAACTGAAATTTGTAGAAAAGTGTCATTCTCTGAAAATATAGGAGTACTAACAGTAGTAATATGCTGTCTCTCTCTTATTTTTTTAAGTTCATTTATTTTGAGAGAGAGAGAGAGAGAATGGGGGAGGGGCACAGAGAGAATCCCAAGCAGGTTTCCTGCTGTCAATGCAGAGCCCAACTTGGGGCTTGAACCCACACACTGTGAGATAATGACTTGAGTGGAAATCAAGAGTCAGACACTTAACCTACTGAACCACCCAGGTGCCCCTATGCTGTCTCTTTTATATGGAGATATTACTGCTGATTAAACTAACAGAAATGTGTTTAGTTTTATCCATCCAAACAGCGGGCTTTTTTTTTTTTAAACAAACAAGATATCTATTGTGGTTTTTTTTAAACAAACAAGATATCTATATCTATCCTTAAAGCTTAAATATCATAAAGTGCCTTTTCATTCCCTCTCTTCTATTTATTCCCTACTCCTTTCTTTCTAGAAGTTAGCAAGCCTCTCAACCAACAAGGGTTCTATAATGTTACACACACACACACACACACACACACACACCCCACAACTTCACATTATTAATGAATGACACAGAAGAAAAATACTCTTATTCTTTTACTAAAAATACACCCGTTCAAGAAAAATATATTGTTTTTCTAGTTTAGTGACTCATAAGAGGGAAAATGTTAGGTCAGCAAAAGCAGAGAAAGTGGAACACTGCAGGAAAGAATCTTGTTGTAAGCAAAAAATCCACTCCAGAAATCTTAAATTAGAGCTTTACTTTGATCAAAACAGTTTTAATTCTACACAACTAGAAACCTCATGGGGGTGCCTGGGTGGCTCAGTAGGTTAAGCATTCGACTTCAGCTCAGGTTATTGATCTTGTGGTTTGTGAGTGCGAGCCCCGTGTTGGGCTCTGTGCTGACAGCTCCAAGCCTAGAGCCTGCTTCAGATTCTGTGTCTCCCTCTCCCTCTAAACCTCCCCGCCTCTCAAGAATAAATAAACTTAAAAAAAAAAAAAAAATCTCATGAGATAAAAAATCTGCCCATGATAAATATGTGTGAATAACAGACTTAATAATTTATATTCCCAAAGAGATGGCATTCAATACTTTCTAAAACAAGTTCTTTTTACTAGACCAAAAATAAAGAAGGTAAAAAAGGATAAAAACACCTGGTAGAAAATATGGTAAATATTAACTTCATGAAATTGCAATGTTGAATGAATATTCACAATATTGATAATGAAACAGTATGTCTTTTAGTTTTTAAAAAGTTAAAAATCCCAATGAGGTGTTTGTAATGGATGTATATATCCATCCTATCTATCACCACACCATTTCCACATAACTTAAGTACCCACTGTTTTTGTTTCTTGTGAATACTGTTAGCTCCTTTATGCATAAACAAATATGAATAAATATTGATTCCTTTGCTTTTGTTTTGACTAAGAAATTAGCTACAATCAGGCACAAAGCATCCAGCTGT